AACAAGGGCTGCCCAAAGAACATCTGGATTAAGACAAACGCTCTGAGTCGCCGTTGCCGTTGGCAAGCAGTAGCCGCATAGACACCAGTAGTTTTCCCTCACTCTCTCGTCATCGTGTGACGGATTGTTTTCATCTTCATCTAAACTAAGTGCAAACTCACTGTTTTCGGTTTGCTCTGGTTCAAACTGGAAAGGTTGAACAGAAGTGATTTCCAGTGCGCTGCTAACTGTGAACTGGATGCGGTGCAACCGTGTGACGTCACTACCCAGAGTGCATTGAGAAGTAAATAACAATGGCGACCTACTGGTAAATCAGTTTTATATAAAATGTGCTTAGAAGGAAAACATTTAGTATATTTTAATACCACATATGTGTTATTGAAAGCACAGTACACATTTTAGCGCAAACATGTCTTAATAACCGGGGTTCCCTTTAAACTAACATAATCATCCTGCTGTAACCAGGTAAATCCATTTGTTTATTAATTAATGTACTAACAGGGACTTAGAAGAGAGGGACGCAATGTTCAAAGTTTAACATTTCACTGTTTTACTCTTTGGTGCTGTTGAGGACACGATATTGTTCTTTCTTGGTTATTTGTATTTAAATCATTTGCTCAAGTTTGGTTTGTTTTTGTCTGGCAGCAGAACGATTAGACACAAGGTGTTGGTGGTGTACCGGGGGCTTCTGTTTAGAACTATGCTTCCTCATCCCCGTCACCCAGCCATCTTTTTATTCTCAGGTCAATCTGCCAGGGGAGAGCTAACGGAGCCTACGCTACCTTTGACTGCACCGGCTACAGCGGCCTGGCTAGTTATGGGTTTTTCCAATCAGTGATCCTGGCCTCCACAAACGGGCTACATTTATTACATGTATTTTTTATTCATTAACATCTGACCCAATGAGCAGGAAAGTGCAGGAGGAACAGGTCAAGAGGCCACACTGCTAACAAGTCGGCTGTGAGCTAAGCTAGTGAATCGCTGAAGACACAGTGAGTGAAAACTGAAAATAACTAGTGTGTGAATCAGAGAGTGCTCTGGACAAACCACGTGAAGATTACACTCTGAAATAAAACGTTATCTGTAAGTTTCTAATTAAATCGACTACACAGATAAGCTACACAAAAACAACAGTGTATGTTTGAAAAGGAACAGAGAGTGATACAGTACAGAAAGCAAACATCAAGTGATGAGGAATAGTCAGGCCCCATCTTATCTTAATGACCTTGTAGTACCATATCACCCTATTAGAGCACTTCGCTCTCGCTCTGCAGGCCTACTTGTTGTTCCTAGAGTATTTAAAAGTAGAATGGGAGGCAGAGCCTTCAGTTTTCAGGCCCCTCTTCTGTGGAACCAGCTTCCAGTTTGGATTCAGGAGACAGACACTATCTCTACTTTCAAGATTAGGCTTCAAACTTTCCTTTTTGCTAAAGCATATAGTTAGGGCTGGACCAGGTGACCCTGAATCCTCCCTTAGTTATGTTGCAGTAGGTGCAGGCTGCTGGGGGATTCCCATGATGCACTGGGTGTTTCTTCTTCACTAACTGATTGTTAGTAGACCTCTCTGCACTGAATTGTTAGTTACTGTTAATCTCTTCCACAGCTTGTCCTTGTCCCGTCTTCCTCCATCACCCCAACAGATCCCGTTAGATGGCCCCGCCCCTCCCTGAGCCTGGTTCTGCCGGAGGTTTCTTCCTGTTAAAAGGGAGTTTTTCCTTCCCACTGTCACCACAGCGCTTGCTCATAGGGGGTCATGTGATTGTTGGCTTTTCTCTGTTTTCTTTGCACTATTGTAGGATCTCCAACCTGATAATATAAAGCGGTTTGAGGCAACTGTGTTGATTTGGTGCTCTATAAATAACACTGAATTCAACTACACCAATTCAAATAATCAATAGTTTCTGCACTAAATATATTATTATTATTCAGTTATTAGACCCTCCACAAAAATATTTACCATAATAACAATGAAAAACAAAGGAACATATCACAGCTGTAAGATCTTTGTATACTCAGTTTATATATTCTGAGTGGCTGTTTTCATTATGATACATCAAGTATTTGATGTAGTTGATCTTGTGCACTGATGTATCGAGTGAAACATGGTTTCAGTGTGTTCAGCACAGAAGGTTCAAACAAGGCTGAAGAATCTCAGAAGATGTTACATATGGCTTTTGCAACGACACAATAATAACTGTGGGTAGGTAAACCATCCACAGCACAAGCTGCAACAGTTTCGTTTGCAGCTTCCTCACCTTCTTTGGCACAGAGTCCATGACCAGCTCACCGTACATGTTCATCACCTGAATAACACAAAAACAATGTAAGAATTAAAGTGCAAAGAGAAATGTTCTCAGGCAGCAACACTTCTGATACAATTCTCTTTACTTTTAAGGCCCGAGTGTGAAACCAAGCAGCCGTTTTCATAAACACAGTCTGATTTTAAAGCCTCGCTGAGGGCCTAAACTTTGCACACGCATCTGCTCTGGTGAAAACGTACATATTTTTAGGGGTCTGGCATGTGGACAGTACAA